TCCCGCCTCCTCGCCGGCTGCGGCCCGGCCGACGCGTGCCTGGGAAGCTGCAGCAGGACTCGTTTACTGAGAAACACCGTTGTCTTTGGGCATGAAACATGCAATGCAGGTCTGCTTAGATCTGCTGAGAACCCATCGGTTGGCTTATATCAAACACATGAGCCACCCGGGTAAGAAGTAAATGGTTCTGGTCTGTGTTCCCGTAGCATTTATCACGAACCTGCCTTATGATCCCTCACAGCTGAGGGATCATAAGAGAGTATCACTTGTATAAAGGCATCCTGGGAAGAGGGTGCCAGCTTCAGTGTTCTACAGGAGCTGGGACAAGCCAGGGGGATGGCACTGGGAGACAGTCCAAGTGCTGCAAGGAAGGGTGACAACAGACGTCTTCTTCAACATATCGGCCTCTGAAAAGTTGTTCCAAGAGATGTCGTGTAAATTAACGCTGAAGTAAAAATGAAGGATTGTATTCAGACCAAAAGGGTGTCCGTAACAGCCTCTCACAGACTTTTTCCCCCCTGCCTGAGTGCAAGGTACACTAACGCAGGCACACTGTTCTTACAGTCATCACGACACAACTTGGGCAATCAGCAGGTCTGAAGAGCACCACCAAAGCAGGAACGTGGGGGCTGGAAGCGCTGGTGCCGACAACCACCTCATGGATCAACCTGCGTTTTAGCAAGGGTTCCTTTCTCCTGGCACTTCAGACACGGCTAATGAACCTCACTGCTCTTAGTGTTAAAAACACATGGACTTTCCTGCCCAAAAAGTTTGGGCAATTCATGCTCATCTGGTCTTGCACGATGTGACTTTTATCCCTGTCTGTTGTTGACATCAGTGATGTCATTTTTTTAACGGGGGAAACATTTCGTATCCTTTTGGACGTTGTCATGATGGATCTTTAAGTTCCTCTTATAAAATAGTATTTTAGTTTCCCTGATCACCTTGAGGCCTTCTTTGCGTATTCAAATTCCTGTTTCCTGATCTTCGAAAGCCAGGCTTGCATCTGATACTCCAGGTGGGGTCTCATCAGTACCAGGGGTTGTCTTCCCTATCTGAACTAGACATGCATCTCCTGGTGTCTCCAAGAATCACATCTGTCCGTCAAAGCCATGCGGTGGTCTTTAAGCATTTTGCCTTTTGCCTCCAGTTTTTCTTTCTGTCTCTCTTTGCCAGGGAATGACTCACCTTCACTTTATGGTGTCAATTTTGATAGCCCCTAGATGTAAGATATTGCATTTGCTCTGTGGAACTGCTGTAAAATCTCAAGGCCTGGTACATTATCCTCTATGATACCCAGATCCTCTTCTCTGCTGACAGTGCTTCCCCAGTTTTTGCCCTCGGCAGGTTAGTCAGTACCTTCCCCACAAAAAAAAAAAAATTACACCACCTGCATAACAGCACCAGAACAGCAGTCCTAAATTTGTAAAAACATTCCCACAGCACTGCAGCCGAGTTACGGCCACTAAGGGTCAGCAGAGCTTGTATTTTCCTGCAGTTTTGTGGTTTCTGGTCAACAATGTGAAGTCGGTACAGGCAGCAGGCCCTCTAGATGGCTGCATAACACAAACAGTATGCACGCAGGAGCAGTACTGCAGCTTCAAAACGGGAAGAGGTATAACAACTTAGAGCTTTTACATCAGGTTACACTGAAAAGGACATCTTTGTCATTAGTTCTGTGGTGACACCCAGGAGCCCATGTATGCTCTGTGACCAGGTGAGCAGCTACCCTTCCACAAAGGTCACTGCCAAGCCCATGGAACAGGAACACTGACAAACTCTGACAATGATCCTGGCTGGAAGACGTCACTGCCTGGACTTCTACATTAGATTATTTTCCCCCACCACCACCCTTATTCAAAGGATTTTATAAAGTAAAACGTGACAAGAATCTCAACGAATGACTTTGCAAGACTAGCTGTAAACTAAGCTGCTGAACATCACTGGCACGAACACCTACACATCAACACAGCCCTCACCATTTTAGATGGCATGAATAAAAAGCGAGTTCTGCTGCTGCTATAGTCACTGACAGGCAGTGGAGGAACCTGAGAGCAAAAACCCTAGAAAAACGGCAGCAGAAAGCCCCACTTCTCATTTGGTCAGCAAGGAGGTAAAGTTTTTTAAATGCCTCTTGCCCTGTGTCCCAGCAGCTGCACAGGCCTGGCAGCCTCTTCAAGGCATCTGCCTTTTGGGAAGAAAGTGGTGTGATGCTGTGTACATGTGCAGCAGGTTTCTCCAAGGCCAAAAAAAAGCAATCCACCTTGGGCAGAATGATGATTTGTGATGGTAGAGGTGTTTCTCTGGGACAAATTCAGAGCACCACTTCTGCTTGAAGGTTTGCACCACTCTTACTCACCACCAGAATAGCTACAGAGTGCAGAGGCAACAACCTGCCAAAGAGGTCCAGTCCATCTTCACTACTGGGAGCCAGCAGGAAGGCATCCAGTCCCCACCATGGCCTTGATGAACAGTGGAGGGTGCAGTGCAGATTGGTTCAAGCATCACTAGAAGGGAGTCCATCTCTAGCAGATGTTCATGTCCCCTTTTTTTATTTCTATCTCTTCTGAAGCTGGTATGGCACCTGAGTTGGAAGTGTTGGGTTTTGACTGTAAAGTTCAAATGCCGTCCAGTGAGTCTCCCTTTCTTATGTGATCAGCTATAGATGTGATCATCAGAAACTTAAGCAAACAATTCCAGAATCAAGGAGGACAGAGGTAGCAGGAGGCCTTTTAAAAGGGCCCTTAGTACTGCCTTTCTGTGCAAATTCTTCTGAGGTGAGCTTGTTACAGAACTTTTCATTTCTAGGGCCTCGTCATGGCCACAGGGACAAGGCAGGGTGGGGGTGCAAAAGGCAATGAGGTGGGCAACTGAACCATTTTGCAGCTGGGAAAGTAAACCGAAGCTCACGTTTTTGAGGAAACCCTTTTTTTTCAACTTGTTATTTGTTTTGTATGCGGTTAAGAGGTCAAAATGAGTATTTATGAATCCAGCAGTAGAGTTCTCAGGCAGGCTAAAGCATAGGGCTTCTCACTGCTTTTCTGAATATAAAGTCCCCCTGGGAATTACAAGCAGTGCCCTAGAGCTTTCCCTCACAGGTTGATATCTCACAGCATTGAACCAAGCCTCTTGTTTTCATTCACCCTCTGGAAATCACACAGTAATGCCCCCTGCGTGCAACATCTGAATGACGGGACATGATCAGCACCCGCTCAGAGTCTGCAGATTAGAAGTTCAGCAGCAGACAGGAGGAGGAACCGTGTATATTTAGAAGAAATCACAAGAATGACAAGAAATCTCCACGTAGCAAAACAGCAGTATTAAAATGGAGAGAGTCAGAAATATAAAAGGTGTGGTATTTACGAAGAGAGCCAAGTGAGTCTTCCAATAGCCAAGTTAAATATGACACAACTGAGGTTAACGCGAACCCTCCCTCCGGAGATCTCAGGCACGGAGCTATGGACTCTAGGGAGACAACGTGCAAGTTTGCCCTTTTCGCCTTGTTTGGCTTGGCTTAATGAAAAGCGAACATTACACTAAGTTGGTCAGCGTTGCAGACAGCCCAATTTTACAGGTTCCTCTCTTCTCTGACCCCCAACCCTGAAACTGGCTCTTTGTGAAGTGCCAAGCATTTTTTTCCCCCATCACCTTTAGCCGTATCTATGTAGACATTGTTTATAAAGAGACCCTTGCAATCGCAAAGTCAGTATTTCTGTGCATGCAGATATAATAATTTTCCTGGCTTCCTTTCAGTGAATCCCTTGCATCTTTGAGAACTTGTTTCATGCTCTGAGGCTGGAAAATTACCATCATGCTTCTGACGGGGGATTCATAAAATTACTTTTGTAAAAAATACAGTAAATTAATACAATATTGTAACTAAGCAGCTCACTGTTGGATTCATGCTGAACATCTCAGAGGCTTCCTCGGCAATACACTACCTGCTTTGCTTAACTAAAGCCCTGAAAACCATGGCTCCTGGTCAGAGCCTTTTAATGGATTTCTTCACTGATTACCCATTCTTCCCTCCAATGAAATCAGTATTGTAAGCAAAGTCATACAGCCTTGCTCTCACTGTGGATGTAGAATCCACTTGTGTACGGTTACCGTAGCTGGGGTGAGGTTCAACTGTGCTACCTTGATCATGTCTGAGTCTTAGTTAATCATGCCTGAGTCTTAGGTTCCGAGTAGTCAGCTATTAAACAC